AGCTTTTACCACTAACCCCATGGTATAAAATATCCCAGTCTTCTCTCAATATAGAGAGCTGGATCACTAGGAGCTAGGAGCTGAACACTTAATAAAGCTGTAACACGGACTAAGCAGAGTCCTGCGCCTTACGACTGATCCAGCCTCTGGGGGGGGGGTAGCATTCCTCCTTCCCCGACTCATGAAGTCCCAGCTTCAGCCGCCTTGCGCTCTCCCTTGTGATCCAAATGGTGTGTGCCATATTCCCAGCCTACAATGTGTTTCTATTATATTCACCCACATTCCTATATCCACCCACCCCCTCCCTGACTACCCAACTTTGTGTCCTTCTTTTGGAAACACATCTAGTCCAATTTGCACTGCCCATTTACTCTTGAGTGTAAAGCCTTCCACTAGAGTGTGGTCAACTTACTAGGGCTACATTCTTAAAGAAAACTTTCTCTTGTTCTTTCAGCACCTATCATTTGCCAGTAACTCCTCAGTTAGGTGTGAGACATCATAGCCACTTCCCTTCTCCATGTTGGGATTTTGTCAGGCATGATCTTTACAGGTCTTGTGCATGCTGTCACGTCACAATCACTGTGAGTTCATATGTGCAACTACCCTGTTGTGTCCAGAAGACTCTCATTGCATCATCTACATCCTCAGGCTCTTTTGGTCTTTCTATCCCCTTTTCCACCATGATCCCTGAGCTTTGGGGGGGGGTGGGTAATAAAGGTGTCCCATTTTGGCTGAGCATTCTGCAGTCTCTTATTAGCTGCATATTGATCAGTTGTTGGTCTTTCTATTAATAACCATCTACTGCAAAATGAAGCTTCTTTCATAATGGTTGACAGATGTACTAATCTATGGATATAATGATAAATAATTAGGAATCAGCTTAATACTATATCCATTTAGCAGAAAAATAGTAGGTTCTTTTCTGGGACCTATGGTCTGCTTATACACAGGTTCTTGGGCTCTGTGACTAGTGCTAAGTTTAGGTTCCATCTTGTGGAGCAAGTCTTAAATCCAGTCAGAAAGTTTTTGGTTACTCCCATGATGTTCATGGCACTACTGCACTAGCAGGCCTGTCTTGTCAGACCTGTAGTTATTATAGCTCACAGGATTAACAGCTGGGTAAGATATGTAGCTCAGAGAGTTCACAGCTGAGTAAGACTGATGATTACTTTTCTTCTTGAGTAGCATGCATAGCACTGTTCAGCACTATGAATGCTAGCCAGTAGATGATGCTTCCAGGCTTGATTTCTCCATGTTCTGTGACTCAAGTATGTGGTATCTTCAGCAATAAATTCTTACCATCAAGTTCTGGAGGGTAACCAAGAGCACTGGCAACAGCCCATAATCTTTTTTAAAATTATTTTTATTTATTATTTTTATTTTTTGTGTATGAGTTTTATGCCTACATGTAGGTAAGTGTACCTGTGTCATGCAATGCCAGCAGAGGACAGAAGAGGCTGTTGGATTCCCTGAACTGTAGTTACAGACAGTTGTTAGCTGCCATGTGGGTGCTGGGATTCGAACCTGGGTCTTCTGCAAGAACAACCAGAGTTCTTAACTGCTGAGTCATCTCTTGAGCCCCCAGCCCGTAGTCTTTAAAGGTCATATGGAACTCCACTGACCAAAAACTCCAAAAGAAATAACCCATTCCTGGCACTGGGCTTTTTATTTGTTAATCTTTGATGTCTAGTAGGGGCATTGTTCCCACATCGTAGGGTAACATTAAACTCATTCATACATTTTATTTTGTGTATGAGTATTTTACCTGTATGTATGTAAGTGTACCATGTGCATACAGTGCCTACAGAGTCCAGAAGAGGGCATTGGAGTCCCTGGAACTGTAGTTAGAGACAATTGATAGCCACCATATGGTGCAGAGATCTGAATCCAGGTCCTCGGCAAGAGCAATCAGTACTCTTAACCCCTGAGCCATCTCTCTAGACCCATTAAACTCTTTTTATATGTGTGTATGTATATGTTTTAGGACTTTTTTACAGTAGTAGATCTCCATATGACTTTTTCAAAAGGTTTTTAGTTATCCTTCCCTGTATCTCCTCCTCTCCCTGCCTTCCTATCCCTCATGCTTTGACCCTTTAACCCTTCATGTCCATTCCTATTCCTTTTGCTCCTGTGTTCTCTCTTCCCTCAGAAAAGCCTTACATCCCAGTATGGCTCTTTTTTTTTTTTCTTTTTAATTAAATAACCCTGGTACTTCTTTTTGATTTAGATGGTGTGTGTGTGTGTGTGTGTGTGTGTGTGTGTGTGTGTGTGTGTTCTTTCTTTTCTTTTTTGAGAGAATATTTCACTATGGAACACAGGCTGGTTTCAAATTTACTGTGTAGCCCATGCCATGAACCTCTTGCCTCAGCTCGGCTTAAACGCTAGGGTTACACGTACACCATGACACATAACTCTCATTATAATTTATATATATATATATATACATATATATAAATATAAAATCACTTATTTTGTTTAGTATGCAAAGAAATGGGTTTCATTGTGAAAATTCCACACATATGTATCATTATACTTTGCTCTCTCCCCTATTTCCCCTTCTTTTTTCTGGACCCTTTCCTCTTCACAAATAGACCTCCTTTCTGTTTTCATGACATACGTATTACATTATCCTCTTGTTCCCCCTCCTGCCTCCCTTTAGACCTCATTATTGTCTCTCGTCATTTTGTACCTTCCTCTCTCTCCCCCTCTCCCTCATGTGTATGTGTGTATAAATTTAAATCTGGATTCTGTATCTAAAGAAACATATGTATGTGTACCACATTTTCTTTATCCATTAATCTGTTGATGGATGAGTAGGTTATGATGAATTTGCAGCAGTAAACATAAATGTGCAAGTATCTCTGTGGTATGTTGCATTAGAATTCTTTGGGTATATATGCCCAGGATGGTATGGCTGGGTCATATGGTAGTTACATTTTAGTTTTTTGAGGAACCTTTACCGTTGTGGCTATGAAAGTTCACATTCCAACCAACAGTGACTAAGGATTATTCTTTCTCCACATTCTCCCCCAGCTTTTGTTGTCATTTATTTTCTTGATGATATCCACTTGACTGTGGTGAGATGGAATCTCAAAGCAATTTCCTTGATTGCTAAAGATATTGGACCTTTCTTTCAACTATTTACTGTCTATTTGCATTTCTTCCTTTAAGAACTCTATTCAATTCATGAGCACATTTATTGATCAGATGATTTAGTTTGGTGAGATCTCATTTTTTAATTCTTTGTAGAATATAGATACTAATTCTCTGCCAGATGTATATTTGGCCAAGATTGTCTCCCACTCTGTACAGTATCTCTTGACTGTGTTGATATTTTCCTTTTCTGTGCAGAAGATTTTGTTTTCACACCATCCCATTTGTCAGTATTTGTGGTTATTTCCTGTGTTACCAGAGTTCTTTTCAGAAAGTCCTTGCCTTTGCCTGTATTATTTTGAAGTGTTTTTCTATATTTTCCTTTAGCAGTTCCAGAGCTTTAGGTCCTACATTAAAGTCTTTGATCCATTTTGAATTGATTTTTGCTTAGGGTGAGAGATATGGATCTACTTTCATTCTTTTGCATTTAGATACCCAGTTTTCCCAGCACTTTTCATGTTTACTTGTAAAAGTAAAAATTAGAACAGAGAAAATGAGGGGTATCTGTGTGACTACACCCTCTACTCTCTGGTGACACCAGTGGAAAGGTTCAAGATAATCTTAGAAGACATTCTCAGTGCAGAGCCCCAGCCTCACTTGGCCCTCTGAGTTCTCTGCAGCTGTGTTCAGTTCCATCAACTGTGATGAACACCTCTAGGTGTGTACTTTCTCAGCCTCTACAGCCTCTAGTGCAGCATCTTCTTGAATGCTCTCATGAAGTCATCTGTCAGGCCTGATATGTCATTCCCTCAGACCTGGAGAGAGGTTATAAATCCATCTTACTGCTTTACTCATAGTTTGGAGGCTTCTTGGGAAGGCAGGTATCACCTCTAGATCTATTGGGAGTTATTCCGTGAGGCTTTCTTGGGCCTCCAGCTCTGTCCCAGGTGGATGTCTGGTTTTACGGCAAATGCCAAAGGACAAATTGTGTCCCTTCCAAAACTTTTGATGAAAGGAAGTTTTGATGAAGGGAAGTCGAACAAGATACACTTGGGTTGGAACTTGTAATATATTTCTTGACTGCCGAAAGAAGGGAAGGCCCAGAGGACTGAAGAGGTGCGGTCAAAAAGCCATGGTCTTGCATAAAACTCATCCTCCCCTGGCCTCCCTGGGATAGACCTTAGCTTCATAGCTTAACTTCATAATGTTTCACCTCTCACACCACCCTTTAGCTCACCTCTTCAGCACTTCTCTCACCCCATATACCTTGCTCTCTGTCCTTGGGGCTCTTGGTACCTCTGACTGCATCTTGAGTACCTCCTTTATCCTCAGTAGTCTGTGTCCCATCTCACCTTCTTGAAGTCTCCACCTCCCTCCTTCTCCAGCCTGTGCCTCTCTTTCCATCTGTTTCCACTTTGCACATACATACTTGACTGTGTCTGATATGCCAAAGAATTTAAGCTGGTTATTCAACTTGATGTACTCATGAATGTAAGTATAGCTGGATTGAGATATTTCTCTTTTCAGTTTTTGATGGGGCCAGAAATTTAAAACATTTTGTACTGGGCTGACTTTACTCTTATTTGAAGCATTTTATTTCATTAAATAAATAATAGCATTCATTTAAATATGCTATGCTAACTATATTGTGAATTATCACACTTTTCCATTTGGGGATCTTTGCAACTATGATTAGATAGATGGAAGGATAGAGGGAGGAAGAAGGAAGGGGAAGAAGAGCTGGATTATGGATGAAATGGAAGGAAGGTTAGCTATTTCACATATGACAGTCTGAATGGATAACCCACCTTCCTTGGAATCCTTCTTTCTCTTCAAGGGTCCCCTACTAACCAGTCTCTTGTTTCCTTTTTGGTGTGTGTACACATGGTGGGCTCTGGAAACCTCAGGATGAAGTTTTAACTGTGATCCGAAGAGTGGATGATAATTGGGCAGAAGGCATGCTGGGAGACAAGATCGGCATTTTCCCCCTCTTGTATGTGGAGGTAAGCTCACTAATACATTCCTTCCATTTTCGTTGATTCACAAGAATGGGGGATCCTGGCCACAGAGCCGATTTCTAAGAGAGATGGAGTTTCCTCAAAAAGAGATTAATGTTTCAGAATTGCCCAGAGGCTTCCATTAAATAGCCCTGGGTACATGAGGATTGTATTGGCCAGGTTTCAGTGGTCCATTTCAGGCCTGGCTGAAATCCTCTCACTGTGGGCTCTGAGGGTAGGGCCTAGACAGCCTTCCCCAACTTCGGTTAGACACCTAGGCCCATGACTCATTTTTCTGAGACTTCCAAGTACTACAATATTGTCTCCCAACCAACCCGAAGGAGAAGAGTTTATGGCTGAAGCTGTGTCTCTCTGGACACTCAGACAGATCTGCAGGAAACACTGCAGACCACTGTCCATGTCCTGACCCAACCCCTCCTTGCATTCCTGGTAGCTGAGCAGTTCATCCAATAAGAGTCACTCAGCATAGGCGAGCCGGGTCTGAGACCTATTTCCTGTCTCCATTTTGTGGTCAGAGAGCCCTCCTTTTCTAGTGCCAAGCTATGGGACAGTTGCTGAGCAGAGCCCATGTGAACTGCTGCTTCTCCCCATGATGTTAGTTAGAGTGTGTGCCCAGGTATGTGTATCTACCATTTGACAGTGCAAGGCTATGTGTCATCCATGAGGGCCACATGCTTTTATCCAGAAACCACTGGGGTCATTCCATAAGAAGCATTTCAGCTAAGACTGACTGCAAAACACTTCTCAGTACTTTATCTTACAACAGTGTGGACATCAGAAAATGATGACCACCCCACTTTGTAGATGAAGAGACACGGTCTGTAGGTGCTGGAGAGTGTTAGGTCCCACAGCTATTGCATGGAACATGGGTGGACTGCCTTAGCCCTTTACTCTCCTGTTCTACCTGGTCTCCCACAAATGACCCAAACTTTATTCAATTTAGTGTGGCATTCTCTCTGACTGCTGGCATACCTTCTACACAAGAACTTGAGAGCCACAAGAAGAGCAGGCAGGGAACATGGCCATCAGGACGTGCATGTGGTAGATATTTGTTAGAAATATCCACAGCTCTTTGCTGTCCACAGGGTAAAGGCCCAGTGTTTTGGCATGGCTTTCAAGGCCCTTTGCAGTCTTTCCCTAGTTGTTTTTCCAGCCTCGGATCTCATCACTTCCGCTCCTTCTCCCCAAATATCCTGAATAACACTTGATTTGGATTAACTGCTCAGGAGATCCAAGGCCCTGCCCCAGCAATGTAGTAAATACACACACACACACACACACACACACACACACACACCTCCTCTGTGTCTAGTTCTTTTGTAACACCTAGTTTCCTTGAATACCTCCTGAAATTCCCACACATTCTACGTTTGCTGTACCGCTCCTTTCTGACTTTTGCTGTTTCTGTATCAGTTCCCTTCTGAAGTGCTAAGATGCAGAGCAAAAGCCTGACATTTGCCCATGCACCCTCCAGGTTCTAGGGACGGGTACACCAGAAAGTCATGACTTAGCAAAAGCTGTCATCCATCTGGAAGATCTGACAGGTATTTGAACTTAGCTTGTGAGAGTCAGAAAGATGTGTTTGGAGGGAGGCTAGGGTTGTAGTTTGGGCTTCAGCTCTAGCAAAGGACACTGCCTGGGGTGCTGCTTGTCCTCTAGTGTTCATGTGGAAATGTGACCAGATGGTTTGACCTTGTATTGTCTGCATGCCTTAATCCATGCTCATATAAGATGAAATACACAAGAGTCTCCTGGAAAGCCCTTCCATCTGGGGCTTGAAGCATGGTATAGTAACAGCAGGTTTGGGGGCAAGTGTCTGGCTAGGACCCTGCTAACTCACCAAGGAACTATTGCCAGGCCTCACCCTCCTGTCAGTGTGGTACAGATCATGATATCTGGGCCATTGTGAACCTTAAATTAAAAATAGCACACACTGAAAACTGCATTGTGCTTTCCAGTTGTGACTGGCTGCTGCCTAGGCTTGTCCAGGCAAGCATAGTGAGACAAAGGTTACAGTTGTGGCTGGAAACTGCCTCCCTGTGAGCTGACAGCTGTGCTCAGAAGTCAGAGCCTGTCTCAAGAAATGATTACAGCTCCGAGTGCTCCATAGACATTATGTTCTTGCCATCCTCTCTATAATTCCCATACTCAGCTGTCAAAGCATCCATACAGTGGCTGAGCTGCTGGCCCCAGGCCTGCCTCTTTCCTTGCTGTACTGTCCCAACATTTTGCTTCATGTCCTTCCCAGCTCCTCTGCCTACTGCCCTAGGTCCCTGGCTTCAGGTCCCAGCACTGCCAGTTTTTTCATTTTTCCTAACAGTTTTGTGAACTTTTCATCAGCATTCTCACACTGAGACCAAGGACCGCTTCCTAGTCATCAGATGACAGTTGGGTAGTATACACATGTGAAAGGCTGGCCTGACCCCATGCTGGTGTCCACTTGGATGCAGAGAGAAGCCTGGGCCATCACCTTTAAGAATAGGAATGATAGAAATCGAGGGATGTGACCAGAATTAAGCTCCAACACTCAACAACACCTTCCATCCAGGTCCTTAGTCCTCAAGGGGTCAGAATAACTTGTTGCTGTTTTGGTTTTCCAGAATGCACTTGTGCTAATAGAAGTAAAAATGCTCAGCCTCGGGGAGTTTCTCCTCCCCCAGTGAAGGAGTCAAGGATAGTGTAAATGGGCTCTAGGGTAGCTAGAAGAGCTCCAGTTGTCAGTGATGGCTCTCCCTGTGGCATGAGTACCCACTTGTGAACTCCCATCCAGCACAGTCCCTATCCACAGGGCTCCAAATAAGTGTGCTCATGGTCTTCCCTTGGCCCAGCCCTCAGCTAGCAAAGGCAGTTCAGGAGTATCATGGGCTTCAGATATGTACCCAACTGGACACATCTCCCGTGCTTCACCTGTGCATTAGATGTGTGGCCCGTAGCCAACCTTGTCATCTTCCTGAGAACCAGAGACCCATGTCCTCCAGGAGCTGGAGGCCTAGAGCACCTGGGGTGCATCTTATCAATGATGTACTCTGAATAGTGAGAGAAACTGAGGAGGAGGCTAGCTCTGGACAGTGGGGGCATCCTCATCCCAGGACTCATAGGAGCTGCCCGACCTAAGCCTGTACTCTGATGTCCTTACATTTGGGTGTTGAACAAAGCGTTCAGGAAACTGCTTGGTACTGTCTATAGATTCTGAAACAAAGAATGGTAGCAGAACCAAAATCCTGATTAAGCCAAATAGATGCTAATCCACCCCCTAAAAAGGGAGAGGTTATTGATGGCAACTGTTTCAGGGAGGGTCCTTGGTTTCAGGAGTACAATGGTGGTGTGCACTGCCCGAGTTTGCTGACCCTCAGTCGCTCAGCTCACTGGACTTGGATTGTCCTGCTGGTACAACAAAGCAGCCCATCACATCGCGTCACTAACTGTAGAGGGAATGTTCTTTTGACCTCCTGCCTCTAAACAGTGTTAGCACTTACAGGCACAGCTGACGGTTCCACTGGGAAAAGCAGACCTCTGCAGCTGTGAATCAGTGCATGGTCCCTGCTGCTGTGAATCTGTTAGCAACCGCTTAGTGCTGGTCACTTCTGCCTTTGTCTTGATTTTCAGCCACTTAACTTGGCAGAAGAAAGTTTTCAAGGAGGAAACTCAAGAGAGTGTGTGCATGAGTCAGGTTTCTCCAGAGAGAGAGAGAACCAATGGGATATATAAATATATGAAAGGAGATTTATTATGGAAATTTACTCATGCAATTATAGATGCCGAGAAACTGCACAACAGACCATTGGGATGTGGGTAGTGTGACTCAGTCCAAGTTAAAGGCCTCAGAACCAGCTATGCTCATGGTGGATCTCTCAGCTTCAGTCAGAAGCTCTGAGAATTGGGAGAGGGTCACTGCTAGTGTAAGGCCTGCTGGGTGTGGACCAGCATTTTACAGTGCTAACCCAACTATGAGAAATAACTCCCAAATGGTTTTGGACAGGTCTTTCATAGGAGACTTTTGGTATATTCTCAAAAGGCCATGATAAGACAATATATCATTGGGAAACCCTTTATCCTCACTCACGAGACTCCCCAGGGACTTCTTCTTCAGTCACTGATGAGCCACAAACCTACCCTAACCACTGACAGGGCCAAAGCCTAAGTGGACAGGGTTTGAGCTTCCTCTACTTGCTTAGCCAGACAGTCTCTGCCCACTGATGCACCCCAGCCTTGCATCAGAGAAAACTTGCATGTTGTCAGATCTTCCAGGGAAATTGAGGCTGGAGAGCCAGATGCTATTTCAGGATATTCATAGCTCCTAACAGGACAGGTGCATGATCGTGGACACATGGCAAGTATACGTAGCTTTAGCCAGAGAGAAGTTTACACAGGTATAGACAGACCAGTATGCCTGTTTTCTGTTTTCTGATTGTTTTGGTAATTAGAAGAGTGATCAGAAACAAGTGTGTGAACATCCCCATTGGCAGGATGTGTCATTTGTGAGCTACCATGGTTCAAGAAGAAAATGTCTGCCAGCTCATGTGTAATTCTGTGATTGCTGAGTGCAGGGCCTTGTTTTAGATCTGGAAGAAAAGGGAGAAAAGGCTTATGCAAGTTGTCTTCAAGAGACTAGATTAAACTGAGTGTGCCAGCCCTGTGGTCATCTGAATAGTCAGTTGTAAGACATTACACTGTACCTGCCTTGTCTGATGCTGTGGACCTCCCTCACCTCATCCTGGCTTCTGCCCTCTCACTATACAAGGCACCCAGGGCCCTTTGCAGGACCCTCCTTTGAATATCAAGCCCTGTAATATCTGCAAACAAGCTCCACCTCTCATCTATTTCAAGAATAGTCTTGGGTAAGCAGATGTGGTTCTGTTGGCCCAGTAAGAAACCCATGGGCCAGCCCCACCCAGGACAGAGCTTTGCTTTACTTTCTTACCAGGACACATCACTCACAGACACAGTAAAGAATCAAAGTAGGTGAAAGATGGGATTACTTTTGC